TTCCCTATCTCTGTCACTGGTGAATGCACACACTCTCTACCAAAAATTAAAAATTTCTCAAAGCAAGACATTTCATTGAGCTCACATTATTCATATATATCAAAAGCTTTTTAATAGAGAAAGGGAGCAGTTTTCTTCCCAGCACTAAAACAAATGATTATCGTTCCTAGTTATAAAGTTGATTTATTTGCTTTTTTGTTTTTGTTTTTGTTTTTTGAGAAATATCTTGGAAGTAAATCTAGGTGGTGGTTATACATTGTGGATGTACTAATTGCCACCAGATTGTTTACTTCATAGTTTCGTTTGAATTTGTTTTACAACAAACATATGTTACTTATATAAATTCAATAGTAGATGCAAAAAATCAAAAATAAATATTGACCACTGTTTATAATAAGAGAAAATTATATCTAAATTATATCTTCATATTTGGGGGGAAATGCATATTTATACTAATAAAGATTTTTTTAATGTTCTTATATGCTATATAAAGCCAAGACTTTGTTGGTTGCAATGAAATAGTTCTTGGTTTAAAATAAGAAAAACAAACAAGAACTGGGGCCAGTAGATGGCATAATGAGTATGCTGCTGAATTCCCATGTAGCTGACCACGGTTTGAGTCCCAGACCCAGTGGCTTTAAACTCACATTAGGCGTGTGTGCATAGGAGCCCCAAATCCCAAGATGAGAATGGAGGAGAACGGATTGTGCCAGGGTCATCCCCCCTGAGAAGTGATTTCTCCCTTCTGTTTCTCTGTCTCTCACTGTCTCTCCAGCAAGCTCACATGCCCTATAGCAAAAATCCCTCTAAAAGAAAAAAGTTGAAAAAAAATGGGGGGGGTTAGGCGCTGACAACAGATGGTGTGAGGATTAAGGCTCTGGACTTCCACAGTTTGAATCAGACCTGACAGCTTGCTTTCTCACATTCTCTTTCTCTCTCTCTAGTGAGTGCACATACCCTACAGCATATTTTAAATAATACATAAAAGTAAATAAAATAATTCTTAAACAATAGTCCAAGCAGGGTGAGATTAGCAGTCGCTTTGCAGGAGACTGACACCAGGGACAGCATACGTCAGGCCTCTCTGTCTTCTCATCTCTCATTGCTTTTTCTAGCTTACAAGGGCTCATCCTGTGAGAAGGTGACTGGTGACTCTGACCTCTGCCAGATTTTCACAACTCCATCCCCAGAGATGTAAAAACTCTTCAATCCAACACCAACTTTAGATGTCCTCGTAACTGTGAGTGATGTGCCCATCCCTTTGACTAATCACTGTGACAAGAAGTGAGGCAAAATAATTTTTTTGCATGGACTTTCAGCCCTCCTCACACCCATGTCTCTTCCAACAGACCTCGCTCCCTGGAGTACCCTGTGAATGAAAGGCCTTTTCTGTGCCCTCTGTACTAAAGAATGATGTTTTCTGGCACTTCCCTCTCATGGCATGACCTGAAGGGTTTGGGCTGCTGCATTTCAAGGTAAGGGAGGACAGGGATGAGCAGAGCCTGCCTCAGTCTCTAGGTGTGGCCTAGAGAATTTAACATCATCCACATTTTGTACACTTGGTCTATGTGAGTGTGTTAGGTTGTGAAGGCACCCTGACAAAGTACCACAGACTTGGAAACTTAAACACAGAAATGCGTTTTCTCACATTCATGCAGATCAGGATTCCAGTATATGTATGTGTGTGTGTGAGTATCAAGAAACAGATAATTATTTGCTGATGATAACATGTACGATTAAGCCACTATACAGTGTATTCTGGATGGGAAATCCTGTTTTGTATGCTGTGACGATGTTCAGTAAATAAATGAAAAATAAATAAAATTAATTAAAAATAAAAAAAGATTCCAGTACAGTTGGTTTCTTTTGAGAGATGCAAGGGAAGGCCCTGGTTTCCACCTTTCTCTCTGGCTTGCAGTTTGCTGTGTTCACTCTGTCTGGATTTCCTCTTCTTATGATGACACCGGTCATAACCAGTTAGAGCCCACACTAATTGCCTAAATCTAAATTGATATGTTTCAAGGCAGAAAGTAGGCTTGTGGTTAATGCAACGTTGTTAGCAATTGCCATTAGCAGTTTATCCTTGAGTCTTTTATTCTGTATTGCTGTTATTCTAGATGAAATCACAGACTCTTCTGATGATAAAAGCCTGTGGAGGTTAGTAAGCCACTCAAATCACTCAGAATAAGGAGGATTTGTTTTTTAAAAATACTCATTGCAGGGGGCAGTACATGGCATGGTGATTAAAGCACTAGACTCCTATATGGCCAACCACAGTTGGAGACCCAGATCCAGTGGCTCAAAACTCAAGCCAGGCACATGTGCCCAATGTCCGGAAAGGAGAATGGAGGAGAAGGGATTGTGGTGGGACCATTTCCCTTGGAGAGCGATTTCCCACTTCCCGTCTCTCTGTCTCTCTTCAGAAAGCTCACTCAGCCTATGGCTAAAACTCTACAACAAAACAAAATAAAACAAACTCATTGCAGAGGCTACCAGGTAGTCTGGTGGTTAAGGTACTGCACTCCTACGATAGCTAATCACTACCACCCTTTGAGTCCTGGACCCAGAGGCTTGAAAATCACTGTGGGCACATGTGCATGGATGCCCAAAATCCCAAGAAAAGAAGGGATTACAGTGTGGTCATCCCCCTTTGGGGAGGGGGGGGCTCTCATTTTGCCTCTCTCTCTCTGTCTCTTTAGCATATGCATTCCCTCTATGGCAAAAAAATAAATAAATAAATGAATAAACCCAACTCATTGTACAGACCTCATCATGACTGATTTTTCCTCAAATCATAAAATTCATGTTTATATACAGAGTTTGCATGAATATTGGAATAGAAACGGTACTGGCTACACCTAGCGATAACTAAATTCAGGAACTCTCTGACCCTGACAGGGTTCTTCAGTGAAAATCAGGAGATATGTATGTTCATTCTTAGCTGAAATACTAGGTAATCACGTATTTTCAATTTTTAATCATATGGCATTACCATCTGTGATTTCACATCAGTGTCCCTTGTTAATCAAAATAAATTACATTAGTTATATATGAAGGTGATGTAATACAAAATTTTATATTAGAAAAAGATGGTGATTTGAGGAAACTAATTACATTTCTCATTTTACTCTTTCAAACAGTGTATTCCATTTCTAGTTGATAATTCCAGTTACCTAAGGAGCAATGATAAACACTGATCTGTTAGCCCTAGTCTTAGTTTTTCAGATAAAATAGCTAGAGGTGTTTGGTAGTAACAGGACTGAAATGTAAGTTTTTAAAATATCCTTCTGGGTAGGGAACCAGCAGTTAGCGTAATGGCTATGTCGCTGGACTCCCACGTAGTCGACCGCGGTTCATGTCCCGGACCCGGTGGCTTAAAACTCACGCCGGGCGCGTGTGCGTGCGTGCCCAAGATCCCAGGAGGAGAATGGAGGAGAAGGGATTGCGGCGTGACCATCCCCCCTGGGGGGTGATTTCTCGCTTTCTGTCTCTATGTCTCTCTCTGTCTGTCTGGCGAGCGCACGCGCTCTATAGTGAAAAAAAAAAAAAAAAAAACCTCTCAAAAAAAAAAAATATCCTTCTGGGTCATACTGATGATCTGAAAGGTTTGGAAGCACTCATAAAATATCTATATTCACTGTGGCAAATGATTTTTCAAATCATTGCAGAGCTAATTTAGAATCAAAGAAACGCTCTGTTCCTGTACACAAAATCACATTTGGTGAGACTGACGTTTCTAGGTCTCTGCCAACCATAGCATCATAAGAGTGGATTATACTTAGAACCATCATCAGATTGGATTTCAGGAGCATTTTCCACCTTGCCATTCTTAACCACTAGTAACAATTATGACTTTAAAAATGTCATTTAGACTTTCTAACATTCTTCATTTATAAAATGAACCATAAGAATGATAACTATAAAATAAAAGACACCTGTAAATTCGTAGGCTGTGAGGTAGAGTAAATGTAAGATTTCATACATCCTTAATCCTTTAGTGAATTGCTCTGGTATCATAAAAATATAACATCTACCTCTTTCTGGCGCCCTAGTTAAAACTAACCTGTCTCTTCTCTGCACACCCTAGTAACTGGCTGAGTTCTCCACTCTGAAATTTCACCCTCTACTGTGTCATTGCTATTTGTATCCATTCCGTTGGTCCTGTTAGATTCAAAGCACCTTGAGAGTAAAGAATTTTCCCTGTCGTTGGTGGTCCCAGGTGTCTAGCTCCAAGGTGTGTGGAACAAGGCCTTATGTATAGTGGGTTTTCAGCAGATATTTACTAAACTACATGGATGAAATCCTCAGGCTATGAAGATGCATGAATGACCACATCTCCCTTTTTTATGACAATGCTATCAGAATATCAGTAATAGGACCTACAGATGGCATAATGGTTATATCACTGGACTCCCACATAGCTGACTGTGGTTTGAGTCCCAGACCTGGCTTAAAATTTATGCCAAGTGCATATGCACGTATGTCCAATATCCTGAGAGGAGAATGGAGGAGAAGGTATTTGCAGCATGGACATCCCCCTTGGGTGGGAGGGTGATTTCTCACTTTTGGTCTCTCTATTTCTCTGGCAAGCACATGTCCCTTATAGCAAAAATTTCTCTTAAAACACACACACACGCACACACACACACACACACACACAAGAATATTAGTAGTATTTATTTGCTTAGTGGAAAAAACAATATCTTTGAAATAAAAAGAAAAACATTCTAAATCCATTCCTTTTCCTATTTTTGACCCCTCTGTTGAACAAGAATCTTAAAAAAAAAAAAAAGAACTATTATAAGGTAAATATTCAGAAGATCCTTGCAGAACTACTTTTATTACCCATTATGCATTCAGTAGGTAATAACCTGAAGCAAATTTTACAATTTTGTTTAACATATTTAAGAGATAATCCTAAACTATTAGCCGCTAAACATTTATTCCTCTTAACTTCTGATATTTGCTAAATGCCCTTAATTTCTAACCTTAAAGCAATAGAAATCCTTTAATAGTCACACTGTAACTTTTTGATAATATTTATCTTTTAAATTACAGGTAGGCTTATTATAAAGTCTTACCAAAATGATTCTTTTTCTATTAAAATAGCTGTCATTTTAAATTTCAAGTTTTATATCAGGGGCATTCACAAATGTATCTATTTACATCTTTTTTATGGTTTGTTAGATATTATTGATCAGATGTTTTCTTTGTAGCATACCTATAACATATGATCACACAAAAATTCAAGCCTTCTTTTAAAATAATCAAGAGTAAGAAATAACATAGAATATGCAGCTATCAAGTCAAAATGTCAAATAACTTTATAGAGTTTCGACATGGGGCCTGCTCCACTAAGCAGTTTGAGTACAATCTAAAGACTAAAATGAACATTTCAATCTCTATCATTATCAAATCAATACTTTATTGCAAAAAAGATGTTGTATATGTAATGGGCATATCTCCTTTTGCTTTCCAGTTTGTATGCACATAATTGAAGGTTCATGTACACTAGTTGTTACAAACAAAAGGGGTTATTGACTTTAAGGATGGCAAGTAGAAAAAGGAAAACACTAAAAATTCATTCAGGAAGTAGAAAAGCCATAGAAAAATCAAGAATGTAAAAGATATAAGAATGGGGCTAGCAGAAGGCATAGCAGTTACATTGCTGGACTATCACATGGGCAACCAGTTCAAATCCTGGACCTGGTGACTTGAAACTCATATCAGGCACATGTGCATGCATGTCCAAGATCCCAGGAAGAGAATGGAGATGAAGGGATTGCAGCATGGCCATTCCTCCCTAGGGGGTGATTTCTCACTTCCCATTTTGCTGTCTCTGTCTCTCTTTCTCCAATGAGCATATGTGCCCTAAGGTAAAAAAAAAAAAAAAGGAAAAGAAAAAGATATAGGCAGCTGGCTCCTTGGCCAAGTTGAGGCAGCTGGATCTTATGTGGCCAATCATGCTGTTCAAACCCAAGACCCAGAAGCTTGAGAAATACAGCAGGTGTGTGTGCAAGTGTGCCCCAAATCAAGGGAGACATGGAGAATATAGGATTGTGGAGTGACCATTCCCCATGGGGAGGTACTTTCCCCTCTCACTCTGTTTCTCTCTGGAAAGTGCATGTGATCTCTGACCAAAAAAGAAAAAAAAAAAAAAAACATAGAAATCAAAGAAATAGGAACCAAACACAGAAGAGAAATGAAGACAATCACTGAAAACACAAAAGAAAAATCAGACCTGCAGTTTGGTCGCAGGCTAGATAGTGCTGAGCCAGATAAGGAAGAAGAGTTTCAAGGCTATCACCAGGAAAAGAAAAAAATGGAATGGTAAGATTGTCAGATAGGTCTGGTTTTGTGGAGATATATAATAAATGAGTACCAAGCAAATGAAATAAGTGACAGTGAATAGCAGAAAAAAAAAAATCATGGATATCTCAAGAGAGGAAACAAACCATAGGCTGCTGCTTGGTTC